GATTAAAAAGAAAGAGCCACCTACGCTCGAAGCCCGAAATCTCGTTCAACCGGTCCGACGCGATTACGCGCACGCGCACGTGGAAGCGCGGACGGGCGGGGGTATTTTATTAAAAATTTACAAAATTCAATTTACATCGTCGCGAAGCGACGGGGCCGTGCGAGTCGTCCGTCGCCTCCCACGTCGGCACCGGTCGGCAGCGAGACGTCAGCTTCGATGTGTATACATGTCACGTGTGTGTGTGTATGTGTGTGTACAATAAACGCGAAGGGTCTGATGTGTCAATAGTCTCCGATTCACTTTTATCGAGAATTGATTCTCTCGAGAAAATTCACTTAAATTTTAGTTCTTTTGCATCAATTTGGAAGATTCTCGAAAAGTGAATGGATCATTGTTGAACTAATTACACATACACACATGTACACACAAAAGTAATTAAGATCTCCGGGACACTGTAGTTTAACCAACGACATAATCGATGGCTGTTAGTTTTATAAAAAAAAAAGGGCTGTTAATTTTATCACACTGAAAGCTGATTTGTGTTGCACTATTTTTCTCCCGACTCAGCCGTGTATGTATACGTGTGTGTACGTGTGCATGTGTATATGTAATATAAAAAGAAAGAACAAAGAGCACAAAAAGATCTGTCGCTTATTTATAAAAACACTATAAGATTTATCTATAGCATTGTAAAATATAAGAATAATAACTTTATTTAAAAAAATAAAAATTAATTAAATCGTACTCGGAAAACGGTACATCAGAGGGTGAGCAGGAGGTGTACGCGGTTTTCTTTCGCATAATAATAATTCAAGCAGCATAGGATCCTACGTTATGTATCGCGCACATTTCTCGCTTTTTCTTTCCGCTCACTGTCTCTCACGGATTTTCGATCTCTCGACGATTACTCTTATCACTTCTCTCGCCTCGAGATTGTCTCTATCGCGCGAAGTGAAAAACTTGTGAAAAGACGCGTCTCGAGGGATTGCCCTACGCAAGGGATTGTGCGAATCAAACGTTTTCTTCTTTCTTATTAATAAAATCATGATCTTTTAAATCCTTCTTGATTTTCTTCGAAATTAGATGACACGAGCCCTTGCGTCAGGATATCGTTTCCACAGATAGAAAACGCATACGCACTTTCGCTGATGCTCTCTCTTTCTCTTTTCTCTC